GATCTTGCTCTCATGTTCAGAGGAAAGCGCTCCTGGAAAGACAGTGAATTCCAGCGTCTCCCAGCCCTGCGGGGTTGTTTGTGCTGCTGGGATACAGGTTTCTTTCGCTGTTGTTGTATGTCAAGATGATTTATTCCCAAAGAAGCCTATTTTGCAAAGAGGCTGTGCACAGAGTTAATTAGTCGTCTTCTGCTTCTGAACATTTATGCGTTCTAGCAACATTATGTATTCACCGGAAAACTGGACAGATTCTGTCATCAGTTAAATCTGGAGCAGTCACACTGACTTCAGATGAGTTAATCTGGATTTGCACTGGCGTAAATCAGGGACAAATTTTGGCCCCATGTCTCTCTGTAAGGCATTTCTCAATTCACAGGGAGACATTGGACCAGATCGTTAAGCAGTATTGTGGTCTAATAACTAGGGGCATTGAACTGGGATTCAGGAGAAACTGGTTTTATTCTTCACTCTGCCACTCACCGGCTGTGTGACCCTGGGCATTCGTGTTCTGTCTTTGTGCCTATAGACCCTATAGACGCATAGACTATCAGGGTTGGAAGAGATCTCAGGAGGTATCTAGTCCAACCCCCTGCTCAAAGCAGGACCAATCCCCAGACAGATTTTTGCCCCAGATCCCTAAATGGCCCCCTCAAGGATTGAACTCACAACCCTGGGCTTAGCAGGCCAGTTTGTAGAGTGTGGTCTGTTACAATGGAGCCCGGAGCTCAGCTGGGACCTCTGCATCATATTGTAAGATTAACAACAACTAGTGAAATCATAATGGGGTTACATTTTACATACTTGGGGGTAACTGAGACTAGCATCTGGCACCAGTGATTTTGGTAATGACCGGATTTAAGTTAGACTGAAACTGAGTCAATCTTTAATCCACATCATCTTCAAGCTACGCCACTTAGCCCTGGTCTACACTACGAGTTTAGGTCGAATTTAGCAGCGTTAGATCGATTTAACCCTGCACCCATCCACACGACAAAGCCATTTTTGTCGACTTAGAGGGCTCTTAAAATGGATTTCGGTACTTCTCCCCGACGAGGGGATTAGCGCTGAAATCGACCCTGCTGGGTCGAATTTGGGGTAGTGTGGACGCAATTCGACGGTATTGACCTCCGGGAGCTATCCCAGAGTGCTCCATAGTGACCGCTCTGGACAGCACTCTCAACTCAGATGCACTGGCCAGGTAGACAGGAAAAGCCCCGTGAACTTTTGAATTGAAGGACTAGGATTTAAACTTGCATCCAACGAAGTGGGTATTCACCCACGAAAGCTTATGCTCCAATACTTCTGTTAGTCTTAAAGGTGCCACAGGATCGTCTGTTGCTTTTTAGGATTTAAACTGTGATTGTCAGAATTATAATTCGGTGGGGCAATCAATAAATAAAGGCCTGAGCTTCTTTTAACATAAGCCTAAAACAACATGTGGCAACATCAATCCGTTCTGTGAACAGTTATTAGAAAAGTGCAAGGAAGAAATCCGAGGTGAACATTTCTAAAATAGTTTTACAAACGTGATTTCTTGCTACATGAAGCACTCTAACAATGCTGTCATTCAAAACCCTGAATTCTGAAGTTATGTAAATCTGGGATTAATGCTTGTTTTAGGTTCCCTAGAACAGTGGCTCTAAACCTTTCCAGACTACTGTTCCCCTTTCAGGAGTCTGATTTGTCTTGTGTACCCTCAAGTTACACCTCAGTTAAAAGCTACATGCTTCCACCATCAGACATAAAAATACAAAAGTGTCACAGCGCACTGTTACTGACAAATTGCTTCCTTTCTCACTTTTATGATATAATTATAAAATAAATCAACTGGAATATATGTATTGTAATTACATTTCAGTGCATAGTATATAGAGTAGTATAAACAAGTCATTGTCTGTATGTAATTGTAGTTTGCACTGACTTTGCTAGTGCTTTTTATGTAATCTGTTGTAAAACTAGACAAATATCTAGATGAGTGGATGTACCCCCTGGAGGACCTTTGAGTACCTCCAGGGGCACGTGTACCCCTGGTTGAGAATCACTGCCCTAGAATATTCCACCCTCCATCTAGGTGTTTTATGCTTTGTTCCAGCAAAAGAACCCCACAGCTGCACAACCTGAATTCAGGTTATTTCCCCCAAAGCCACCAAAAAACTCAGTGAATGTATCTTTCTGATCTTGCTCCTTAAGAAATGCAGAAATAGAAACATAGATCCATAGTTTCTAAGGCCAGGGAGACCACTGTGATCAGGCCATAATAGACCTTCCCTGAAATCTTTCAGCAAAATTATTTCTGCTAGTTAGTAGAACTGGTCAAAACATCGTTTTGATGGAATGTGCGTTTTCAATGAAATAAAAACGTTTCCAGAAAGTATCCGCTTTCCTTGACAATTTTTGATCAGAAACCCAAATTCCAAGTTTTTTCAGTTTTCAGCCACATATTTTTCCATTTTTGGCCGAAATGTTTTGGCTTTCAGTTGCCAAAAACTGAAAACATTTGGGTAAAAACAATAACAACAACAAAAGTCAGCTCAATCTTCGGTTTTTCAATTTTCATGTTTTTGACAAACGTTAAACATTTGCCATGGGGAAAAAAATCCCATTTTCCTTGTTATTAATACATCCCTCTCCTGTGAAAGACCGTGCAGAAATATTTTGTACTATAAATTCACCTCTTGGGTAAAAATAGGCAGTAACACGTCGTAAATTACAATCCAGTTTTATTGGACACATGCCAAAAAGTCAAAAGGGAGTATAATTATTGTTTGTCATTATTATTGAAGAAGTGTAGAAATCTGTAGCCTTTTTTAGTGGTGCACTCGCAAAAAATAACATGAAGGAATTTCATGGCAAACTGGATAGTACACATGAAGGTGGTTTGTTCAGATAAATTTTTGCTAAAACACACAGTTCTGGAGATTTTTGCGGTACCATTGCTACTGATGACTATACTCACAAGAAATGCAATATAAAATAAAATTATCTAGTACTTCTGGGCCAGATTCAAATGTCAATTGCAAATACGGAGTAACTCTTTTGAGACCAAGGGACATATTTCCTGATTTACATCAGTGTAATTTACATCAGAGTCTACCCCCCTCGGACAAAGATATTCTTCCCATCTGCTGTATATGTTGCTTGAATTTTCCACATAAGTGTTTTAAGAATTGTACTATAATTTTCTTAATTCATTCTTAATATCAAATTAATCAGACTTAAAATTGCCCTGTTGGAAAAGTTAACTGTTCTTAAAGGTATTTTTTGAACACAAATCCACTTTCTCTCCTTCTCTTTGTATTTCTCTTTCAACATTGTAGAAACTCCAGTGCAGAGATCTCAGGTGGAATTTTCAAAAGCACTTATGGGAGCTAGGAATTCGGGCCAGATTTTTAAAGGTTTTTAGGCATCTAGTGAGATTTTCAAAAGGGCCTAAATCCATAGGCAGTTAGGCACTTAGATGTTTTTGAAAATCCCACCAGGCACCTATGAGCATCTTTAGGTGCCTAAATCCCTTAAAATCTGGTGCTTGGGTTCTATTTTGAAAAGTGACTTCGGAATTTAGGAGCTTATATGCCATTGACTTTCAATGAGACTTTGGCTTCTAGGCCTAGATCCCCGAAGGTATTATTTGGGCATCTAACTCCCACTGATTTCCATGGGAGTTAATCACCTAAATACCTTTGATCTAGAACCTAAATGCTTGTCACTTTTAAAAATAGCACTAAGGTGCCTAAGTCACTTAGGTCCTTTTGAAAATTTGAGTTAGGAGCTTTTGAAAATCCCATTCCTTGTCTTATGTGTATAAACAGGTTACATTTGTCAAAAGTACTAAATCACTTAGAAGCCTAATTCTCATGGAAAATCATGGAAAGCCAAGAGGACTTAAGCGCCTAAATCACTCTGGCACTTTTGAAAATGTTAACCGTGGTGCCTAGCATGAGGCTGGACTGAGTCTAACAGGAGCCTTTTGGCAGTGTAAATATTCAATCATAATAATTGTTCTCTCGGAACCCAATCCCTGCCCCGGTTAATTTTGTTTTAATCTCAGTAACTCAAAACCAGAGCTTTTACATAAACAGATTTGATCGTTTGTACTTCTAGCCTTTGATAACACATGACCACAAGCCTACATGTAAACCGCGTGTTAAATCTCATGTTTGCCTTTGGTTTAGTTTTGAAAATGTAACACAACGGGGTAAACTTTCCTTTCACTAAAAGAACACAAGGATTAGTATTTGATAAGCCATTTGTAAATCTAATCAGCGTGGCTGTGGCTAACATTTGCAAACACTGTTATCTAAAGTCAGTTTCACAACTTTAATTCCCTTCCTTAATCGATATTCAGCTTCGGAATACATGGCCTTATTTTCAGAAGCGCTGAGTGCCCACAGCTCCATTGACTTCAACAACAATTGCAGCTGCTCAGTGTCTGTGACTATTAGACCACTTATTTTAGGAGCCTACATATAGATTTTGGGAGAGATCTTCTAAAGCACTAAAGAGATTTAGGAGCACGAGTCCTAAGGACTTTCAATGGGATGCATGTGCCTAAATCCATTCGGCTGTTTTGAAAATTTCTCCCTTAGGTTCTTAGGCTTGGGTGCCAGATTTGAAAATGTTGACAACCTCTCAGGTCGCACGGAATACAACAAAGGCCCCTGTTCACTTAAGCAGAGACTTAATTTTTAAACATAGGTTTAAGTCCCTTTTAGAAAATGCTTAAGCACCCGCTTAACTTGAGCACATGCTTAACAGCTTTCCTGAATTAGGACCCCAGTGCTTAAGAACTACTATGCCAGGAGCCAAAGAAACAGGTGCATCATTGTCATTCACACTAGAATTATAAAAGGGGGGGGCTGAAGGAATTCAAGATGCTACAGGGGTTTTCTTGCCAAAGTGATGGATTGTTGCTGCGGGGGGTAGTATCAAGAGGCAATTATACGTGGGTGGGGGGGTGGTCTATCTATGACTTGAGCTGTGCGGAATTCCTCAAGTTTAACTTTTAATGGTCTTTTTGCTGGAAGAGGTTTTGGAGACAATTTTCACGCCCACGCTGGTTCCCACCCCAGTGCCTTTCCCGCTTCCGGTGCTGAAATTTCCTCCTCCGGCGCTCAGCCCGCTGCCACCTCCATAGCCAAAGCCACTGCCCCCTCCGAAGCCGCCGCCGCTTCCAAAGCCGAACCCTCCGCCTCCGAGACCGAGACCACTTCCACCTCCATAGCCGAATCCTCCTCCGCCTCCTGCTGAGCTAAAACCGCCAAATCCTCCTCCTAAACCAGCTCCGCCACCAACTCCAGCGCTAGAGCTGACCACCGCTGCAAGAAAACCACAGCCTGGTCAGACGCCCGGTTGAATCAGGGGTTCGGTTCCAGTGAAACATGGACTGTTAACTGGCCCTACTGGTAGGGTTGCCGACCCTCCAGCATTGTCCTGGGGTCTCCAGGAATTAAAGAGGAATCTTTAATTAAAGGTTACCTCATGTGATGAAACCTCCAGGAATTCATCCAACCAAAGTTGGCAACCCTACCTACTGGGCCCACAATTGGGTATTGAACCTGGGACCTCTGGCACTAAAAGCATGGGCCTCTGCTACCGGAGATAAAAGACTAGGCCGCAGAGCCTCAAAGATAGTTAGGCACTCACCCCCCATTGAAATCAATAGACCGTAGGTGTCTAAATGAGCTGGGGATAGACCCTGTAACTAGCAAGAGGAGCAGACCCTTTAATAGCTTATGTGGGCCAGCCATAGAGGGAGCAAATACCCACACTCGCCTAGTGGCTGGCTCATTACAGAAGCAGCTTTTCCTCTCCTGGAATTGACACCTCCTCATCCATTATTGGGAGTGGACTACATCCACCCTGATTGAATTGGCCCTGTCAACACTGGTTCTCCACTTGCGAAGTAACTCCCTTCTCTCCATGTGTCAGTATATAATGCCTGCATCTGTAACTTTCACTCTATGCAGCCGAAGAAGTGAGGTTTTTACCCACGAAAGCTTATGCCCAAATAAATCTGTTAGTCTTTAAGGTGCCACCAGACTCCTTGTTGGTTTTGTAGATACAGACTAACACGGCTATCCCCTGATACTTCACACTCGCCTAGCACGGGTTACATAAGCCCAGACGCTGCTCCCGACAGGAGAGAGATACTCACAGTAGCTGACGGGGATGACGCCTTCTCCGCTCAGCCTGTGGGGGAAGGCAGACAAAAGGAAGGTAAAAGTCACATGGAGGAGTTCGGCTTTTAAGATCGACATGCTGTAAATACGGGAGGAAGTTTATCACAGCTGCATTTTCTGGCACATTTGCAACCTTGCAGTGCTAAGATCTTCAAAGACTCGTTGACTAAAAGGCCAGAAGGGACCATCATATTCATCTAGTCCATCGAGACCATCTGTTTTCATGTTTTTCCTAGGAGGCTAGTCTGTTTCTGTCCATGGAGCCTAAATACCTTTTAAAATCTGGCCCTAAGTGAACTGCTCAACACCACCAGGAGCAGGGTGCAGTAAAAGCAGGGAACCAGACCAGATTCTCCTAAATTGCAGGCTAGACTAACCAATGTACCATCCATCCTTCTTGAATAGGGAACCCAGCCCCCAACAGACCCACGGTCATTTTGCAAAAGATTAGCCACTCAGTGTGCTGGGCTGAGTCAGGAGATGCTGCTCCCTGTGGTCCCTCCTCCATATGTTTGTTGTATCCACCTCTTGTCTCCTGTCCTGTGCAAGGACTTTGTAAGCTCTTTGGGGCGGGGACTGTCAACCACCTAGCCCAATGGGCTCTTGATCGCGGATTGGTGCCTCTAGGTGCGACTTCAATACAAGTAATAAAGTGACTTGGGTTCTATTCTAGCTCTGCCAGTGGCTTGCTAGGTAACCTTGGGAAAGGAAGTATCTAGCTATCCCCACACATACACATCTATCTATCCATCCATCCATCCTCCATATACACTCCTCTATCTGTCTATCTACGTTATTCTGAATTGCTATATCAGTCTGCATATAGAACTTTCTCTCTCTCTCTCTCTCTATGTGCATACATTACTATCTCTCTATTTAGGAATTTATATTAGACTCACCACTGTGTCTACCTCAATTTACTCTCGGTGCCTCAGTCTCCCTGTCTGTAGAATAGGGATAAAGGTACTCCCCTCCCCCCATTGAAAAGTGCTTTGAGAGCTGTAGATGAAGAGTGCTGGATCTCAATGAGTCAGAAGCATTATGATCACTCTCCTTATCTTGCACCCACCTGCTCTCCTCTCCCTCCAGCAGCTTCCTGTAGGTGGCGATCTCGATATCCAGGGCCAGCTTTCCGTTCATCAGCTCCTGGTACTCCCGCAGCTGGCGCGTCATGTCCTGCTTGGCCTTCTGGAGAGCATCCTCCAGATCAGCCACCTTCATCCTGGCATCTTTGAGCGCCAGCTCGCCACGCTCCTCGGAGTCCGCGATCGCCGTCTGCAGACTGGCGCACTGCAGGGGAAGGGAGTTGGCTTCCTTTTAATTACCAGCCATTTCTCTCTGTGTTTTCCCACTCTTCTTTAACAGTGCAAAATTCACAGGCAGAGAGCTGACTCCTTGCTGCTATTAGCACCAGGGGAGTGACTGGCCTGTACAATTCCGTAGCCTCTGTTTGCCAGAAGCTGGGAATGGGCGACAGGGGATGGATCACTTGATGATTCCCTGTTCTGTTCATTCCCTCTAGGGCACCTGGCACTGGCCACTGTTGGAAGACAGGACACTGGGCTAGATGGACCCTTGGTCTGACCCAGGAGGGCCATTCTTATGTTCATTGCAGCTGTTTTCTGCATCATCATGACCACTAATCTGGCCTATGCTACTGAGGCACAATATCCAGTCAGAGGGTGGTGACTGATTTATATTTATTGCTGATAAGTCTTGTGCTGGAGCGTTTTGAGCTATGGCCATCTCTGCAGCGTACAAACTATTGTGAGGGCTGAGTCTCTGGCTTAGCAAGAATGATTTAGTGCAGTGGAGAGAAGGCTGATACGTAGGTGTGTGAGCACGCATGCACACCACTGCCCTCTGCTGGGTGGAATGAAACTACTTACGTGTGACATGTCGCCCCCTACTGACTGCAGCTGGTGTGGCTATACATCCTCACAGTGCTGCAGCCGACAGAGTGGGGCGGGGGGCAGGAAACTGGGTGACAGGAGCAGGCGGTTCTGTCTTCTCCCGTCTCTAGTGAGAGCCGTTCCTACCTGGTTCCTTGCATTCTCAATCTCGGCCCGTAACCTCTGGGTCAGCCGGTTGAGCTCTGAGATTTCTCCCTTTGTGTTCCGCAGGTCATCGCCGTGTTTCCCAGCAGTGGCTCGCAGCTCCTCGAACTAATATTCAGAAACAAGAGGGGGAAAAAAATACAACCTAATGCCCAACCATGCACTTTAACTAAGCAGCCACCCATTTGGGCGGCAATAACGGCATAGCTCTGGGCACTGTTTTAAAAGAATTGAACACCCAGAGAAGAATCCGGGGTCCTCCGCTTATAGATCCACTCACCTTGTTCTGATACCATGACTCGGCCTCGGCTCGGCTCCTGTTAGCAATGTCCTCGTACTGAGCTTTGACTTCGTTCACGATGCTGCTAAGGTCCAGGTCTCGGTTGTTGTCCATCGACAGGATGACGGAGGTGTCAGACACCTGGGCATTCAGCTGGGCCAGTTCCTGCAGAAGTACATGGGCGCCTGAGTCACCTCTAGTGCAGAAATGTCCCGATAGCCACCATCTGCCTTTAAAAATGCTGGACCTGATTCTCCTTCCATGTACCCAGGTGCAAATCAGGAGAAAGTCCAGTTGTGTATCAGTGGAGCTGCTCTGGATTGACAGTGGTGTAGCGCATCAAAAACGAATTCACTATCTTTAGAAGTTTAGGTCCAGATTCTAGTGTAAATCCAAAGTGACTCCACACCTGTGTCAATCCAGAGTGACTCCACAGAAATCAACGAGGTTACTCTGGATTTACAAAGGGGCAACTGAGATCAGAATCTGGACTCTAGCATTTTTATTTAAGCCGAACACAGAGACAGGAGCACACTGGAAATTGGTATTATTCAAAACCACTCAGGTGATGTGAAGTTTGAAAGTCTAGGAGTCTGAGAAGTGTAAATCTGAGTGGCACGGAGTCACTGCAGTAGCCCTACAGGAGTTATGTACTTAGAAATCCTAAAGATTATTCTCTTGTACGATAAAAAGGCATGTGTTTTTATTAATATTGCAGTCGCATGTAGAGGCTTCAGCCAAGGTCAGGGCCCCATTGAGTCAGGCACCGTATCAACGCAGAATGAGATAGACCTGGCCCCGAAGACCTTATGATAAAAGTAGACAAAACAGCAATGAAATGACGCGACTCCAAGATTACACAGCAGCTAAGTGGCAAAGCTAGGAACAGAACCCAGGTCTACCGAATGCCAGCCCAATGCCCTATTCAATGGACAAAACCGCCGTCTGTGGTGGTCTTGATTCCCTCCCGCGTTAAGCCTGCTCATGAACATAGGCCGTATTTAACTTCCTAGCGAAGATGCCGTGAGAAGAAGCAATACCGCGTCATAGAGGGTTCTGAGGAAGTGGATCTCATCCATCAACGCATCCACCTTGGCCTCCAGGTCTATCTTGTTCATATAGGCGGCATCCACATCCTGAGAAACAGCAAGCACAGTCACAACTGCAGCCTAGAGGCCTCGGCTGGCGCAGAAAAGAAGCCCAGGATTGCCTAGGGGAGAAGCTCAAGCGGCCTTTCCGGCTCCGTGTGGGCTGGGGAAGTTGATAGAGACACTTCATTGCACTGCTGACTTTTAAAGGACAAAGCTCAGCTAGGGGGTGCATAGAGCTTATAGGGGAAGAACTCTGAAGCATTCTGGGCCAAAGATAGGGAGGGCGTAAAGCATGGAGGTAATATTTTGGGGTCTGCTCACAATCCCTCCCTTACCCTTCAGAAATGCTGGCATTCTGCCAGGTCCAGGCCAGCTCTAGTGTAGTGTCAGCGGGGTGGGAGTGGGGAAAAGTTGCTACCTCCAACCCCCTTGGAAGACTTAGTGGGACAATTGAACCTTGTAGGGCCAAGGAGGCCTTTCAATTGGATTAGGACACCAGCTCTCTTAGGTGCCTTTGAAAATCTCAGCCTTCGATACCGCAAACAGGATGAAAATTGTAATCGATCTTAGCACGGCTCACCTTCTTGAGCACCACAAACTCATTCTCCGCGGCTGTGCGCCTGTTGATTTCGTCTTCGTATCTGTAGGGATAGAGGGGAGGCAGCGCTAGACCTTGTTCATGGAATAGGAGAGGCAGGAAGGCAAGAATTTCTTGCCTGAGCTCCCATTTGCAAATGCCTGTTTCTAAGGGTATGTCTACACTACAGGATTAATCCGAATTTAGATAATTCGAATTTGGGAAACAGGTTGTATAAATTCGATTGTGCGCGGCCACACTAAGCACATTAATTCGGTTTTTAACCACATTAATTCGGTGGTGTGCGGCCACACTACCCCATTACTTTAACCACAGTAATTCGGTGGTGTGCGGCCACACTAACCCTAATTCGAATTAACAAAATCGATTTAGGCACTACTCCGCTCGTCGAGGTGGAGTACAGAAATCGATTTTAAGTGCCCTTTAATTCGAATTAACTGGCTCTGTAGTGTGGACGGGTGAAGGGTTAATTCGGATTAACGCTGCTAAATCCGAATTAAAGTCCTAGTGTAGACCAGGCCTAAGATTAACCTGGCCACCTTTCTTGTAGCATGATTATGGTTTCTACTGAAATTTAGGGTAATGCTTTTTACAAAATGCACTTCCTTTGGTCATGCTGATTCTTTGAATTTTTGGCTTCAAAACAGGAAGATAGACGTTTAGAAAAAAGGAAATCTTTCCAGACACTATTTGCAGTAGCTGCAGTCCAGGCTAGCGATTGGCTTTCGCTTCAAAATTTAGCTTCTCAACATGATCCATATTTTCAACCTCTCTAAAATTTTGGCAGGGGGGCTTTCAAGGTCCAGTCTGCTACAGAACTCAGATTCACATCTGGATGCAGCTCCATCTCTGTGTGTGTTCATGGCCCACCGGCGTTGACCCTGTTGGTCAACACTAGACAATATTTGGTCCTGCCATGAGGGCAGGGGACTGGACTCGATGACCTCTCGAGGTCCCTTCCCGTCCTAGAATCTATGAATCTATGGTCTCACCTCCTCTCTCTTTCCACATCCACTCTGCAAAGCTGCTGTAAAGCTGTGCTCTATAAGCTTGCGAGATGTTTTAATTTCCCTTGCAACAGTAGGGATGCGGCTGGAATGTCATGTGCAAGGATTGAACACCAGATCTTAACGCATGAGCCTCTGCTGATTAAACTAATGGAACGAATGCATTTGTTTGGAGCAGTGGAAAACTCATAAACATTCTATGTATGCCAGTCACTAGACTCACACGGTGTTCCATATATCTCCTCAGCAAACATGCTCCATCTCTTGGGTTTTTGTCCCTAACAAACTCACATGTGCAGGCTTAAGATTTGGGCCATGTGTGTTGGTCATGCCTGCTGTAAGCATGAAAAAAATGTATCACAACTTGAACTGGTTGGAGAATGGAATTTCCCCTCTGGGGGAAATTCAGACATTTCCAAATTTGTTGTCACTCTGAATCAGAACAGAAAGTTGGAATTTTGACATTTTTCTCAGTGTGGAAATTCTGAAAAATTTTAATGTGAAACATTGTCTTCCAGTAATATCAGATTGTTTTGTGCAGATGATGTTAAAATATATTATTATGTTAAATACGTGTGTAAAATGTGAACTATAATATATAGTTCAAATCATTCTACCATAATGATGGTAGAATGGGCTTAAACTGCAGCAAGGGAGGTCTAGGTTGGACATTAGGAAAAAGTTCCTAACTGTCAGGGTGGTTAAACACTGGAATAAATTGCCTAGGGAGGTTGTGGAATCTCCATCTCTGGAGATACTTAAGAGTAGGTTAGATAAATGTCTATCAGGGATGGTCTAGACAGTATTTGGTCCTGCCATGCGGGCAGGGGACTGGACTCAATGACCTCTCGAGGTCCCTTCCAGTCCTAGAATCTATGAATCTATGAATAAAAGTTAATACAAAATGAAACAAAACAGTAAAGTCCAAATGAAACATTTCAACATTATCAGCATGAAACAAGAGTCAAAACAATTCATTTTAACGCTTTTCCATTGAACATTTCGTCAAAATCAACATGTTCCCATGAAACTTTTTCACTGTCTTTTCCAACAGAAAACTGTTCCATCTAATTTTTATCAACTAGCCCTAATCGCAACAAAGCTACTGTACAGACAGGGATCTGATACCCACCTTCCAAACTGGAACGACTGTAGAGTGTATAACTCAGTACAGATCAGCTCAATGTCCTTCCATTAAACATTCACTTACTTGTTCTTAAAATCCTCTACAAGGTCCTGCGTGTTCTTCAGTTCTCCCTCCATCCGCCCTCTTTCATTTAATAGGTTGTTCAGCTGCTTCCTCAGGTTGTTGATATAAGACTCAAAGAAGGGTTCAAGGTTATTCTTGTTGGAATTGGATTTCTGACCCTGATCCTGCAACAGGGTCCACTTGGTCTCAAGCACCTTGTTCTGCTGCTCCAGGAAGCGGACCTGAAACCCAACAGGCAGAAGATATTTAATGGAAGATATTCGCAAACAGGTTGACACCTGAAATTCAGTAACTTGGCGGTTCAGGGGGCAAGAGAGGACATATTAAATTAACCCCTACATTTTCTCGAAAACAACGGGCCAAATCCTCAGGGTCTCTCACATTAACGTAGTCTTTAGCCAAGCAAATCTCCCACTGACCAGCTCAATTCCTGAGGTAGGCTGATGTACTAGCTAGGACAATATAGACTGGGACTCGAGATATCTGGGTTTTATTCCTATCGCCGACCGTCTGTGTGACTTCTGTGCCTCAGTTTCCCCATCTTTGTAAGTGGTGTAATGGTATTTAACTTCTTCTGTCGCTAAGTATTGGCTTACTCCAGTTTTCCTTCATTTGGGCTCAGTCTGGACTCAGGTGTACTCCATTTAATGGCATTTTCCTGAGTAAACCCAAGTAAGGACCTCAATATAGAAACATGGAGTTATACCTAAATAGTGACTGAGAGAAAACTGATTCAGCTTGTGGTCAAGCATTAGCAGAAAGGTGAGAGTTAGAGGAAATGCCCCAATTAGAGACGAACACCATGTTTCACTGACATTTCAAATTGTGTCCCAAAAAGGGATTACAAATATTAATGAAATAGTTGTGGATTTTGCAATCTATATTTCACGTTTCCCCTCTTTCTGTGTGCGGTTGGGGGTGGGGTGGAGCAAATCAAGTCCCTGGTCTGTTCAGTTTCCAATGTTAACCACTGAGAAATCTGGATTCTCGTAGCTATTTAGAAGCACGTTCATTTACTGGAAGATTTGAATCAATCAGTGCAAAGAGGAAACACTTGCCGGGTGAGAGACTTATTAACTCATGGGTTTTTGTAGATATCCAAATATGAAAACATGCCTTTTCCATTCCTTTCCATCTATCTGCCTTTTTCCACAGCACTCCCATCACCGTAGTTTCTGATAAACTCTCACCTTGTCAATGAAAGAAGCAAATTTATTGTTGAGACTCTTAATCTGCTCCTTCTCCTCTTTTCGCACCTGTTGGATGTTTGGGTCAATCTCCAGGTTCAGTGGCGCCAGGAGACTTTGGTTGACGGTCACTTCTTGGATGGTACCCATGCCAGGTAAATTGCCACCCCCAAATCCTGCTGGACTTCTACCTCCACCAAAGCCTCCCCCGCCACCAAAACCAAGCCCACTGCCACCAAAGCCAAATCCACTCCCAGCGGCTCCACCACCAATACTGAGCCCACCACCGCCAGCTCCCCCACCAAAGCTAGATCCGCCACCATGACCTCCGCCGCCAAGACCGAAGCCACCACCAGCTCCACCCCCAAATCCACTCCGGAGGTTGCTCCCACCACCGATGGAAATTTTCTTAGTGCCCCCTAGGTTATAGAGGCTCCGGCTGCCAAAACTGCCTCCGCCGCTGAGCCTTCCGAAACCTCCGCCGCCTCTTGACACGGAAACCGAACTGAAGCTGGCTCTGTGGCTACTTGGAACCACAGCAGAGACTGTACTGAAGCCCTTGCTCCCACCTCCACTTCGGATGCTGCCGGATTGCCAGCTCATCATGGTGGGAGATATCAGCGCTGCTGTGGGAAAGGAGCGGAGTCGGCAAGCGGTGCCTTCTGGTGAACACCCCACCGGAGCCTTGCCCCTTTTATCCTTTGGGATCTGGGCTGGGTTGCCTGGAAGTGAAGCGATCAGTTGAGCGCCTTAATGGTTTTGACATTCCTGGCAGGCAGGTGTCGAAATGAACTTGTTAAACGCTCAGTGAACTCAACCACTCCCGTGGAACTGATGGGAGTCTGCATCGCTGATCGGCTTCGACCCAGCAACAGGGTTATCTAACGCCTCATTTTCCAGCAGCGAGTGCTCAGACACGGAGCTTCGCTTTCAGAGGCGAATCGTTTTTATTTTCCTGCTGCAAAACAAAGGTGTTTCCATATGAATGTGCCCCGAACTACAAGCCATGTTTCGAGAACCAATTTCAGAACCAATTGGCTCTCTCATCTGAGTCAGCGATGGTTGCTCATTGGTTTCACATACCCCCAGGTGGCAATTGTCCAAAGCTCTTCAGTTACTATGTACCATGCTGTAACATCGTAAGGGACTAAAAACCCCAATTCTCGAGTGACAGCCCTTACCACGAATAATGCAGGTGGAAACTGCAGGGCCAGATGAAGCCAGTCTTAGAACATAGAACATAAGAACGGCCGTATTGGGTCAGACCAAAGGTCCATCTAGCCCAGTATCCTGTCTACCGACAGTGGCCAATGCCAGGTGCCCCAGAGGGAGTGAACCTCACAGATAATGATCAAGTGATTTCTCTCCTGCCATCCATCTCCACCCTCTGACAAACAGAGGCTAGGGACACCATTCCTTACCCATCCTGGCTAATAGCCATTAATGGACTTAACCTCCATGAATTTATCCAGTTCTCTTTTAAACCCTGTTATAGTCCTAGCCTTCACAACCTTCTCAGGCAAGGAGTTCCACAGGTTGACTGTGCGCTGTGTGAAGAAGAACTTCCTTTTATTTGCTTTAAACCTGCTGCCCATTAATTTCATTTGGTGGCCCCTAGTTCTTGTATTCTTCTACTGTCTTCTACTGTCTTTCACTGACACAGACAGTAAGCTGAAGCCCCAAGGTAAATGAATGCACCCAGGAACAGAGGTGGATGGAATACGTCAATTTCCAGGATTATCCATCTGGTATCTCACCAAAGCCCTACATTCATTTAAAAGCTAAAACAACTTACTCATCATCAAGGTGACTGGGAGACTTGTCTGAATTAATTAGAATGAAAGTCAGCGGGGTCTATATCCTATTAGTGCCTTTAAAAAATCTCCTGCTTACTAATGCTGGACAAAAATTTCATGAGGATTCTTGGCCTGGGGGCATAGAACAGCTGTTTGGCAGCTGCACTGGCTTGATGATCATTAACAAGGACAGCTCTATTTAGGGGCCATGATTTGTGCAATCTTCAAATGGATTGCTCCTATGGAAGTGTGGCTTAGTGGCTGGAGCACTGGGTTGGTACTTAGGAAACCTGGTTTCTATTCCTGGCTTGGCCAATGGGTGACCATGGCAAGTGACTTCACCACTCTGTGCCTCAGTTTCCCCATCTGTAAACATAAATGTGACTAACGATAGTGCTCTCCTTTGTAAACCGCTTTGAGACCTATGGATGAAAAACATTATAGAAAAGCTAGGTATTATTGTTATTACATTCATACTCTCACAATAAGCTGTTTGAGGAAGGGACTGTCTTTTTCTTCTGGGTTTGTACAGCACCTTGCACAATGGGGCCCTGATCCATGACTGGGTGCCTAGACCTTACAGAGGTAAAAATTATTATTATTATTATTATTAATAATAATAATGAAACAGTAAGGAGAAGCATTTGGTCCAGAACCTGAAACCCTTACTCTTTTGGTACTGAGGGATTACTTTAGGGTTGCCAACCCTCCAGGATTGGCCTGGAGTCTCCAGGAATTAAAGATTAATATTTAATTTAAGATTATGTCATGTGATGAAATCTCCAGGAACACATGCAACCAAAATTGGCCACCCTAGCTTACTTAGATAAACTCCCAAGGGGATCACAGTTGAGCTCTCTACGTTCAGAATTTCTGAAGACATGGCAGCACAAAGGTTCGTGAAAAGGTCAGAAAGAAATGAACATTTTTAATTTGATTCAACATTTTTCAGTGGAAAATTTCACTTCAGTAGGAACAAAACAAAAACACCCTCCTATCCCTCCCCCCCACACACACACACATACTTTTTTGCCCACAATAAATAAAGTAAATATCTGATAGGGTTTATTTCCCCGACTGAAAAGAAAGGAAACCAAAAAATTTCCAAATGGCCATTTTTTGTGAAAATGTTCAGTTGCTCTAAAAAGCCTTTTCTCTGAAAAAGAATTGTGTTGGAATTTTTTTCCACCAGCTTCATGTGGAATGACAATAATTATATATTTATTTTAAGAAATGATCAAATAAAATAATAATCCTATCATAATAATAATAAAAATAGGTTGCACATCAGCCTAAAATTTTCAGGTTTGGGGGTTTCATTTTTGTGTCAAAAATTGAAACTTTCCCCTACAAATCTCCATGGAAACAAAGATGTTTAGTTTTAGAAATTAATGGAGATATCCCATCTCCTAGAACTGGAAGGGACCTTGAAAGGTCATCGACTCCAACCCCCTGCCTTCGCTAGCAGGACCAAGTACTGATTTTGCCCCGATCCCCAAGTAGCCCCCTCAAGGATTGAACTCACAACCCTGGGTTTAGCAGGCCAATGCTCAAACCACTGAGCTATCCCTCCCTGCAATAGGGAAAATTTAGCTGAAAATTTCAATGGGGCAAAATATTCCGACCATTTCTACATCTAGTTGTTGGTCATCTTTCTTACATGAGCCCCTGATACAACAGAATGACCAAAGCCTGCAATGCATTTGTATGCAACAGTCACCTCGAGCAAAATTCTGCACGGCTCTGCTCTTCTCCTGGCCTTGGAGGTTTGAGATTATTTCTTTATTTCATCTTTGAACAAGACACATGGTCCTGCAATTGCTTCACACATAGAACTGCCCAATGAAGAGAATGGATGTTTGGATATGTTTCATCAGGACCAATGAGAAGCAAGAATCTCCTATGTCTTCGCTGAGGGAGCTCTATGCATGTAGCAATTGCACAACCATGTGATTTGTTTAAAGATCTGAAGGCAGGAGAAAAGCAGAGAACTAAACAGACTGATTGCCAGAACCAGAGCCAATCAGGGGGGGAGGAGGGAGGCAGGAGGACCATTTGGCCTGGGCCTCAAACTCAAAAGGGGCCTCAAATGTAGACCCTTGTTAATTTTTTGGCATTTGATAAGTTTCACAACTTGTTTTTATGTGCATCCCTATTGGACCAAAATGTGACACACTCTCTCAGCTTAGAGCTGCGAATTTAAGCAAATAAGAGATGTGATTTGGTAAAAGACATACTTTTTTGTTAACTGATATAGATTTTGTCATATTAAAGAGTTAAAAATGTTCAGAAATATTAATAAAAATATATCGGTTCTGATGGCACAAGATTAGACCACGATGAACGTGTCCTCTCAAATCAGCTGATTATAAACAGACCACTACTAGTGGCTGGTGCTGGATCAAGTGCGTGTTGAAGGGTAGAGAATCGTTACATTTTAGTGCCTTATTTTGTTTTCATGTGTCGTCATTTTTTATTATTATGGCTAGGGGCCTCAAAAGCTGGAAGTGGCCTGGGCCTCTCTGGACCGCTGAGAGGGCCTGGCCAGAACTGCCCCCTTCCCTTTGCACTTTGTGGGTATGTCTACACTGCACCTGGGTCTGAACCTCCCAGCCTGAGTCCACAGACTTGTCCTAGCAGGGCTTGCGCTAGCAGTGCACACTAAAAACACCTGTGTAGATGGTGCTTTGAGGTTGCGACTCTGAGGGAGGTGGACCTGAGAACCTGAGATTCAGCCCATGATCTCAGTAAAGTTACACCCAGGATCCATGGGGCCCTGTGCGTTTGAGGAGCTGGGCTTGGTTGCATGGGAAACCAGAGATGAACGGAGTGCTTTGATGGGCTTGGTTTGCCTGGGAGCAATATGAGAAAGTCTTTATACTCTGCTAAATAAAGACAAACACTACACACCTATTTAATAGTGCTTGTCAGCGTTTCACTCCGCTGACACTGAGATGTCTTTCTGACCGGCTTTTATGCAGCAAATAGAAATTAATCACATTGTTCCAGTGTTTGCCAAAAAATGTTTCACCCAGTTTGTTTTTCACAGGGACAGAACCGGCTGCAGTATTTTAAAGCAAAGATGTAACCGGCGGATCTGGCAACCATATAAAGTATTTTACACACAGAGAAACAGAGTGGGGATGGACTTGAGGTCCCGTCCAACTCTACTTTTCTATGATTCTACATGAACCAAATTTTGCTCACACAAAAATGGGCCAACACTGAATCAAAAGGGGGTTGTGCATAGGGTGACAGGATGAGAGGAACAAAATAACAGGACACATGGCGGGGGGCCGCCGGCGGAGCCAAACATGTTGAGTCAAACATATTTTAACAAACTTTTTTGTAAGAAGATCCACTATCCAACTCGATAGTATTTTAAATCTCTGTTTGAGCAAGCTGATCTGCAAGGCCTTCATCGTGCACGCACTTATGCATGTGTTTAGTGTGAAGCACGTAACTGTTCCACTGACACGAGTGGAACTGCTCATGCACTGGAAGTTAAGCCTCAGCGTAAGTGTTTGCAGGACTGGGGCCTAAATCCACATTGACCTGATTTCTCTGGCAGAAAAAGCACTTAACTACGTGCTTAAGTCCTATTCAAACCAATGGGAGATGCATGCTTAAAGCTGAGCATATAAAGTACTTAAGTGCTTTGCTGAATGAAGATGGACTGCTGGTTTGAAGCGACATAAAGTAAAATGAACAAATTCTTCCCAGTGCAGTCAAATTAGGACAGTAAAAGTTTTACCACACAAATCTAGCTTCTAGTTGCAGGGCCAGATTCCCAGCTGATGTAAAAGC